GAGGAAAGGGTTCTGAGAGCCTTGGAAGTGATATTCGTGATCACCGCGAAATTCTCTATCGAATGGTGTATGAAGTGTCGAAAAATAAATTTCACTGCAAGGCTGCCCTGGGTGCATCTTATTTATTATATTTTCCAGTTTGTACTTGATAATAACAAAAATATGTAACAATTTCGTAAAAAACATTCATGCAACACAAAGGAGTTTCTATTTTTTCTCTTTTATTTACACATTCAAATATTCGTATTTCAACAAGAAAAGTAAACAATACTTACATTTAATTCAGCGAACGCTTTTGTATAAATATACGGATTTTGTATAAAATGAAGCAAACGACAGGGATTTTCTAACTCTTATTTTTATTGAAAACAACAAAATTAAAAGTAAGTATCTATTACATTATTCAAAGAAAGGACGGAGTCCAAAAGTCTGTAAAAACCGGTCCCTCTTCAAAATGTTTTAATTTCGATGTGGATCGACAGAGAATTCAATTTTATGTAGTTTTGTGTATTTTTCGGAGCTTCGAAACGCATTTTGTTGCAAAAATAAGTTCCTAAAGTCAAGGAACCAAGCGAGTACAGACGAGCGTTACCTTGTGTATTTACGTACACCTTATTCTCTGTCTACATACATTTTTAGGATTATCTAAATAGTTAAAATTCCAGAATGCGCAATAAACTGCTCGATTTGATATCAAATTATATAAGTCAATTACATAAAGAACCAATGTTTATCCGCGCCTCACTCATTCTTTTTTTTCATTCTTTTTACTTCAATATTAAAAAATTACCTAGACTAGAGAGAGACATCAAACAGAATGGTTTACACACACACGAGCTCTCGTTCTTTTCAACTTTTTTTGCTATTTTTTTCATAAAAATATGTTGTATTGTAATATATATGCAACTATTTAGTTGAACGAACGATAGTTTTGTAGCTTATAAGTCTAAAAATTAGTTAATATAACACTTGAAGTTTATTTTATTGGAAATGAAAAGAAATGTCAGGAAGTGATGTGTTCTATTCTTTCCTCTTTTCCTTCTCAAAAAATTTTGTTAACGTAACAATGTTTACCTTTCTATAAAATATATATTATTTTCCATCCAATAAAGTTCCAAAAAACTCTTCTACCAATAGGATCACAGCTAGAGGTCAGTGAGAGATTCGCAGGTGCCCGATATTACGTTCCCCCCACATTTTACCTCAAATCGCTCAATCTACATTTTTCTACATTTTATTACGTTCCCCCTACATTTTTCAAATCGCATGTAAAAATCATGTAAAAAAAAGAGTTCTCCGGAAACTCTCTGAGGATCGGACATCATGCTTATCCTTCATATTGATTCAAACTGTATCTGAAAATCGGCAGAAAATCAAATATTTTTCAAAAACCTTCTGAAGATCCCTCTATTGTACCATTAGATTCTCCGTGTTGGATTATCTACAGTTCACAAGTGTCAGCCCTCTACACTGTCCGATTTGTTCGTGTGAACATACAAACATTTTCTTTTATATGACCCTAACTAACGTCAAGGAAATGATTATAAGAAAATATTAATTTTTCATGGACCATCATAACATTATGTTTTTATTTAAATTCTAATCGAATACACTCTGGTTAAACTTTAAATTTGAATTTTGTTCACAAGATATATAGACAGCGAATTTCTCTTCTTTTAAAATTTAAAAAAATACCGTGTAGCCACGGAATTTCAAGATCCTAACAGGATTGGAAACAAGATTTTCAAGAACCCTAACAGATTTATCATTGTTTTTGAACCAGGATTCAGTCAGGAAACGACTAAATCCTGGAAGAAGCGTGTAGCCACGAAATTTCAAGATCTTGACAGGATTTTTCAAAGATTCTGCCAAGTTATTGCCAAATTTTTTGCAAGATTATTAGATATCTTGTGAAAAACGTTTTCCAGGATCGCTTCTTCGAGGATTATGCCGAATTCCACTATACTTTTCTTTCTTTTTGTTGATGTTATGACAGAAGTGCAATGTGGTTGAATGCAAAAAATAAGTATATGAATAAACGAACTTTTAGTCGTCTTTTTTAGTAAGATCATTATGACTAACTGCTACTAAAAAACCATACCTAAGAAAGAAATCGAAAAACGAAGAAGAAATTAGAGGAATGTCGGTCACGCACTTTGAAAGTTTCTTTTCTTTCGAATAATCATCATTGTTTAAAAGTAGATTTCTGTCTGTGCACTTCTACCAATGTGCTGGCGTTCATTTATGGTCTGATGTTAAGGAAGTGTTATTACTAGTCTTACGTGGATTTTAACAGCTGGCACGAACGAGTTCATTTCTTCTACGGAAAGGTATAGGTTTATTTTATTACGAAATATAAAAGTAAAAAGCTGAAAAAGGTACCGGTGTTTTTATCGTTGTTATTTTCGTAACCAATGAAAATTCTGTTTACGAGATCCGTAATCAAACATACAATTTCGTCTGGTTGCATCATTGATCAGTTTCGACCAATGACCATTGATCTATAGAGATTGATAAGCACCATGACAAACAATTAGATAGATACTCCCGTAAGCGAAACTTACATTTAATGATTGTAAATGTCCTATAATATAAACAGCATATTTTCCTCGTGTCAACGATACATTCAAACGTTGTTTATTTCCTACAAAACCAATACTACCTCGATTATCCTCTTCTTGTTGTTGTGCTCTCACCGATGATAATAAAATTATATCTTTTTCTCGACCCTGAAATCCGTCCACAGTGCTAACATCAATCTTCGTTGATAATTGTCGTTGAATCAGCTGCAATTGCTTTCGATAGGGTGTAATAATACCTATTGTCGAAAGTGGTATATTCTCTATTGTAGTTAAATACCGGATTAAATCGACCACAACTTGTGCTTCGATTGTATTATAATAAGATTGTATAACGGGATCTAATTGCTCACAACTATTTAAAACATTTATAAATGCATATGGAATCAAATGAAATTTAGATCGTTCAATATTTGTTTGTTTGTCTGTCAACAATCGTCCTTGATAAATATGTTCCGAAGGAAACCGACAGATTTCTTCGTTCATTCTGTATTGCTAAATTAAACACAAAAGTTTGTAGATTGATGCATTATGTTCTAAATATGAACTTTTGTTGGTAATGGATAGTTTAGCAAATCTAATAGCAGACTGGTACCTATATCGACGAGTAGAATGGAATCCTCTAACTGATGCATGTGTATATCTTAAAATAAATCGACAACTGTCTGCGGATGTCAATTTATGCTTGTCCAATCTAATCTTTTATGTATGCTTTGACACAGAACATTTGTTTGTGAACTGTGTAGCCAAAATTTATAGAAGTCAAATGTATTGAGACGCTCTATCTCGAAAGTAAGTTGTATTTCTCTTGTACATTACACAGGTAGTATTGTTAAATGATCTGTGAAAAGATATACCAGTTTTTCTAATAAGTCTCTCTAAAATTCTCATTTTTTGTATCCGACTACACAAGAAATATAGTTTAGACGTACGATATTGAGCATTTGAATAGGATTTAATTTTTCCTGTTGTTTGAATAAATTAAACAAGCGTTCGAATAAAGATTGATTCAAATGAGCATTTAACGCTTGGTTTGATATAACAGTGGCTGGCAATTGTTCTGGATCGCCAACAAGAATTATTTTTTTGACGCCGAGACGTAATGGAATAAACGTATCAATTTCAATACATTGTGCAGCTTCATCAACGATTAGACAATCAAACCATGGAAACTTTTGTCTATCAGCTATCGGACAGTAAGGATCAAATAGACGATTGCCAGTGTAGTTCAACGTACTTATGATAACGTCTGCTTCCTCAAAAACTTGCTTCTTCACGTTTTGTTCATTTGGGTATGAACGAATATTATTGACTAACTATGAAAAAATAACGAAGTTTATTATACAGGAAAAATCCTATTGCCTCATTACTTAACCTTAAAGTTTGATAGAATACGTGCAACACAGATCATGACATAGTTTGTAATCTAACATTCTGGTTGTAAAGACTACCTTTCATTTCATTCAGTGATAGTTAGGGAGCTGTCTGCTAACTAACGGGTGCGTCAGAAATAACGCCCCTCTCCATATTTTCTTAATATCTCGGTCCAAATTGATCCCCAAGTCTCAATCTTTCTTTTAAAAAATTCCTTATTTAATTCTCTACAAAAAACATATTGAACATTTCTTTATATACTATAAGAATAAAAAGTATAGAGAAAATAGGGAAACGCTTCAATATCCATTACTTTCAAACTCCACAAAACAGGTTTTTTAGTTTCAGTCCCTTATATTTTGTGATGTTAAAATAGAGAAAATGACCATTGTAGTTCTCGAAAAGCTCTATCAATTGGCTATATTCAAGACTCTTCATAGGCTCAAGCGGTCGCAGGAGGATATTTTTTCTTTTAGCTATTTTGCCCAAAATGATCATTTCCTAACTGCAGTTTCAAGGCACTTAAGAAAATTTGTATGATTCGATCAAAACCAAACATTGTTACGTCGGATCTGGTTTATCTTAAAGCAAAATAATTCTCCTGTTACATCCGAACAGAGAAAGTCGAATAGCCCGATTTCTTTTCCTGTGTTACGAAGAAATCAAATTTTTCGTTATTTTAATTTGTAGTGAAATTTTCGTTCGTGGCAGAAAAAAAGGTTTGTAGCAAACTTATGATAGAAGAAAAGAAAGAAAGGTGACATTTCGGAGCACCAGAAAATACATTTCGATTCCACTTTGATGCATAGCACTGTGTTCAAAATAAATATTTTTTGGTTGCGCTCTGCGTTTGCAGAGAGCTCCTATCAAATGTCTGGAATTCCCCCCATTTTGGGTAATTATGAACACTCGTGCAAATCGTACGGGATAGACAGAAAACAAATTCTGCGAGGGCGGGGCGGATATCCGCTTTGAGAATATCCGAAGGATAAGTGAGAAAAGAACGACTACATCAACCCGCATTTCCAGATTTTCCGACTTTTCTGCTTATCCGTCTTTTATGCTTGTACAGCTTTTATGCTTTTCTGACTTTTACACTTTTATGCTTTAACATCGTTTAACATGGAAATTTTCTTCTTTGCTTGCTTACTGTTTCCTGACTATGTAACATCGTTAGTCAAAATACATTCAATTCAAAAATTTTTGCATATATATGACGTCCACATGGTTGCTCTATACACAGACATGTCCAGTCTATTTCTATATTAGATATAGTATTTACTACTATTCAGATTGAAAGAATGAAATAAAATTTCGAATTTCAGTGGTGAAGGCAGTTCGAAAATACAAGAAAGCAGAGAAAAGTTCGGTTGTATTTAATGTTTGAAGACACCATTCATCACTTTTTTTTCGGTATATGCAACAAAACAATAGAATAGAAAAGAAAGTTTGTTTTTGTCTAGTCGAGAGTATGTGGTCTATCCTAGTTTCGCTGACACGCGGATGAAGAAGAATAAAACACAGAAACCGTTTTTAAAGTGACAGATAGTCCGAAGTGTCTCCTACAAAATGGGATTTCAAACAACCTTGTAGTTTCACTTTTCAGAACAACAAATTCTTCGCGAATGTGTATTTTTCAAGCTATGTCGACCGATATCCTGTCTCGGATATCCCTACCTCGAATATTCATATTTAGATACTCCTACCCATGTACTAAAAGTCGCATAAAAATCGGCAATTAGTCGTGAAAAATCATACGATTAATCGTGCGCTTAATCGTAATTAATTGCTTCTCGGTTTAAAGCTCTGAGGAACAATAGAGAAGACTCTTGACAACTCCGTTGTATTCTAAAATAAAAAGATGATCCGAATATAAGTGTATTTTTCGCTGAAATCGTGTTTCCTATATAAACTTACAAACTTCATTGCAAAAGAAAACGGTGAATAACCACAACTATTTAATCACTTAAAATCAACAATTAACCGCAATTAATTGATGATTTTCGTGATTAATCGCTATGGTTGACAAAGTCATCGATTAATCGCGATGCACGAAAAAATTATCACTTAATCGAGATTAAATGACCATTTTATCCCGAATCGCGATTGAGCGTCGATTTTTTCAACTATCGCGGTTAATCGACAAAAATGAAGCGATTTTCAGCACATGGGTATTTCGGATATCCGCCCATCTCTGATTTTCATCGTTTCCTGTAGAGAACATGGATACTGTTGTTTTTGAACGGTCTTTCGTCGATTAAAATTAAAAGAAAATTTAAATTAGAACCTTAGTTGACAATCAGCTCACGAACAACTTCGACTTTTCATAAACCTCGTACAGTTCTTTTCATGCTACATAAAATATTTTTTATAAACAGCCCATCTAGCGCCAACTATTTACCAGTGAATTAATTAATCGTCCCAAGCGTCAAAAAAAATCTAGTATCGCCCGATTCATCTAGATTATTAGATTTTTACTCGATTGCAACTACTGTGCAACGACAGTGGAAATCTAGTAACTGCGCGATTATTAGATTTTTTCTACTTGCAACTATCGATTTATCGCCCGATAATCGATCGATTTAACTATTGCTAGTTGCACATGCAGACGCATCTAGTTAAAAGTCCCTTTTTCAACTAGTAATCTAGATGGCAACTAGTCGTGTATCGCCCGATTACAGACGAAATGTATCTAGATTTTTCCCATAGGTGATATTTGCTTGGGGTATTGAACTTTAACAAGATTTTTACATTAGTAGATAGAGAAATGTTCGGTTTATCCACCTGCGAAATGTCGTTTTTTCCCGAGTAGAAATGCTTCAAGTACGCTCAAAATACTGTGAAAATTAGAGAGACTGTCCAGAATTACCCCAACCTATTCTACCATACTACAGTTTTAACACTTACTGTGAATATATTAGACTGACGTTTATTTTATTGTACCAGATTTTATACAGTTTTATCTATTTGCTTATCATTCAACGTTCTCAATAAAAGAATCAAAACATTTGAATTTAAGAGGTTTACGAAATAAAAGTATCAAGCTACTGTATTAGAAATCTTATCAATTTTGTATCAATTAGTTAAGGCAATTTGAGAAAGGGGAAGTGTTCAAAACTTTTCGATGAGTTGCAGTGAAATGCCAAGAGATCATATATAAAATAGAATTATTCTGTGTGCAAACTATGTGAAAAAAAGACGTGAAATTTATGACATAATTTTTTCTTTTACATGTTCACTTGACTTTAGTCTAGGGCCTTACAAAATGGTACCTGTTGTTCGGTCAAATATTCAAGTTTTACACGATTGACATCTTCTTCCATACAAAGAGCTTCGTCGCAGCCAACACGTCTAACCTTTAATCCGTCTAGAAAATAATCAATGAATTTCATGAACGTATCGAAACAATCGATGTACCGTTATGTTTCAAGATTTTTCTCGTTATTTCATTACAACCGCCATTAGATGGAGCACATACAAGAATTTTCAGTTTCTTCCCTCGTATATCAAAACACCAAGTCTTAAAAGAGAAAATAATGTTCAGTATGTTACACCAAATCAAAAGAGAATCGCACTTTAGCTATTCTTCGTATAATACCAACAATCGTGTGTGATTTGCCTGCAAAACAAAACACACACTTCGTTTTAATAAAACGTCTTATAAGAGCTATAGACCTGTGCCTGGTGGTCCTTGAATCATGTATACTTTCGGTTCATTCTTATTTCCATCACACACCATTGAAACAGCCTCTTCGATAACAAGCTGCTGTGATTCATTGTGTACAGTCTAAAACTACTTCGTTGACAAAAATACAACAACTCTGAGACAATGCCTACATTTCCATCTCTCGTAGTATAATTCTTTTTACCAAATAGTTTTGTTTGTAAATATTCACAGAATACTTGAAATTTTGTTTTTGTGGAACGAAACATTCCACCAGTCAATTTTGGATCAAGCAAATATTGGAACAATGGACAGTTATTCAATTCTGACAGCGCACGAAAACGTCGCAGATTGGATATAAGGGATGCTTGAACCTAAATGCGAAAAGAAAAAATATTTTAAAAAAAGACTTGGATTTGGGAAGTTATTGATGATAATTCTGGTATAATATCAGATTCCACTGTCATTAAAAGCGAAACAGCCTACAGAAATCTGATTTGTAATAAAAGAGTTTCGTAGTATCGACATTGATCTAAAGACGCATTCATTCTTACATGACAATAAGCGAGCGCATGCATTCTAAAAGAAAGGAAACAACGTAGAGTCTCATTTTCGTTACTAGATAATGTTAAAGTTTCGTTGTACTTGAATTACTGAGAGTCTGTACGCAGTGTGCAGAGGTATTTATTAAGGTGAACAGACGATGGCAAAAAAATCGTTTTTTTCAATAGCAGTTTCTCTATAGACCTCTACATTTCCTAAGTCTCAGTTTGACTGAAACTTTGCACAAGTATTCGTCTGTGTATATTACGTCTATAAAGTTAGTATAAAAATAAGCTGCAAATAGTTCAAACTTACAGTGGAATTCATTTTTGACTTTATTCTACATGTTCGAATTTAGCTCAACGAGCTGAACACGAAAAACACCTTCCGAGCCCCCAAGAAATATTTCTTCATGGGGAAAAACTCAAATTGCTGAGAGGATCTCAACAATACAGAAAACCGTCCTCTATGATGAAATTGACTTTTTGAGGTTGTACTGTAAAATGGAAGATTCGAACTGTACTTTTCTGAATCAGTATTGAAAACTGATTTAGAAAAAGGTTTTCAGTTCATTTCAGACGTAAACACTCGTCCGCCATGCATGTCCGAACCAACGGGTGTCAACTGGGTGTGACTCATTTTGTAAATGTTTACAAAATGAGTCGGGAAAAGGCATCAGAATCCGATGAAATCCCGAAAATCTGTAAAAATGACTAAAAATGGGGCTAAGCGGAAAAAACGCGGGAAAATTCAAAAACAGTCAGGAAAATTCTTCGGGCTAGGCGAAGTCACGGAGAATATCAATGAGTCTCCAGGAGTACAACAAAATTTGAAAAAAAATTGCCTGCGGAACGGAGCCCAGATTACAAAAGTCACAAAATCTACCGTGTCCCCCTTGGGTAAAACTCCACTGTGTCTTCATGCACTGCGTGATATATGACACTCTTTTTTCATGCATGCGAGATTAGTGCTCGTTTTTCGAATCTCGTCTAAACTTTATTTATTTCTTCATCTGTTTGATTTTTACTTCGTTAGTTCTTTAAAGTAACGAAATAAGTTTCATAAAATCAATGCATTTTATAGGTTATTTTTAAAAGTAAATGAAAACATGCATTGGTATAATACGGATACGCACTTTTTATGTTGTCCTTAAAAGTTTCAACCGACCCATAGTCGCAAACTGAAATAACAGAAAAAAACATGAAAAATTTGCCTCCAATTCTCCAGATAATTCGTTATGGATCCCAATTCTCCCGATTCGTTTTTCGTCAAGAAGAGTACACACCGATCTAACTCACTTCTGCTTGTATTATAGCGTTTTTCATAAATACAGTGTTGTATTCCGTTTTCATAAATATAAATATCGTTATTTCGAAACAGGCTATTTGTGCTGGACGTAAAAATAAACGTTGATCATTGGCTGAAATAAACAAGGAATGATAAGGACTAAAGGTTCTGATATCGGCAGCAGAGAATATAGTATTTCTTGCTTTTAGCTTAGCTTTAGTCCCTGTATACTAAATCTATCCTAATTTGTGAATAGCAAATGATTTTCGTCTGAATCTCATATAAAAAAAATTTACACAATTAAACTGTAAAGAGAGATGTGACCTGATTCGGAGTGGTTATGGTTATATCCTCAATGGATTTCAAAGTGCCTCCTGTATGCACATATACTGCTAAGTCCTAAAAGTCGTGTTCGTAAATATTCGTCAACACCCAGTTTTCAAAAAGATTTTTGCATCCATCCATCCTGAGCTTGTGTATCGACGGACAACTTTTCATAGAAAGTCTTTAATTTATGAAAAAATCTGCTAATCTCAACGTTGATGTACACAATACAGATGTAGCTTCTACAAACCATATGAAAAATGGATTTGTTCATGTTTATATATTCGTTGTTTATTCTGATATAAACCAAATACTTTTTCTGATTTACACGTGATAATTAACAGATCATTGAATTTTGGCATTTTGCTATTGCTGTCACTGATATTTACCAACACTGAAAAAGAGTTTCATACAACTTGTTTATTGAATAGCTTATCATCCAACCATTACGTTGACACTTTATTTCAGTTAAACTATTTAAATATCTGACTGCTGTAATAACAATATCGTTCAGTTTTATCCTTTGCATCAATTGATCTTCTTGTTGTTGTATGTCACGTTTGATCTTTGAAATAAATAATAGTGTGTTGGTATACGCTTACAATCGAAAGATGAACGCTACAAACATTTTTTCTAGACGATGGAGTGAAAATAGTAGCGGTAACGTGCAGAGTTTTCTAGGGCAAACGTTTTAGAAACCAAATAATTATTCGTTGTAAAGTTACATTTCCTTGGGGGGGGGGAAGTTTGCAAGGTATATAGTATTGAAGAATGTATTTCCATACATACATTTTCCCATGTCTCTTCTAACAACCATGGTACAGTTGCTTGTTGATATTCAGAAAACGACAAATACCGCTCTTTGATTGGTGTTGGTGTTAATGTAGAACAATCTTTGTATAAACATCCTGTTTGAAGAGCTGGTAATGCAGGAAAAAAAGAAAATATATTTCATGCATTTCTTTTATCATGTATATTACCTGCTTCGTTTAGCCATTTAGGATCCCATCCCAAAATAAATGATAAATAATCTTCGTATAAATAAATAAAGGGTTTTACCGCTGGAATAATATTGGAAAAAAATGCACTTAATTTTGAACGAATCCAAAATATAGCTATAGATAATGTGATATGTACCATTTATAGTATTTTTATAAGAACTTTCTGTTTATTCTAAATTGATCATATCTGGATTATCCCATGCTGTCGAAACCGAACGAAAACCGGCAGTTAACCACACTTATTTCAAGAACCGACGATTAACCGCGGTTATTTCAGCTAAAACCATAGCAACACAGCAGAAAAATCGACGGTTTACCGACCGTTTTTCTGGTTAATTGTGAGGTTAACCGTCGGTTTTTCTGCTGTGTTGCAATGGTTTTAGCTGAAATAACCGCGGTTAACCGTCGGTTCTTAAAATAACTGTGGTTAACTGCCGGTTTTCGTCCGGTTTCAACAACATGGGATAAGACTTACAATTAAAATTTTACTCTAAACTCATACAAAGCTGGAAGAGCTAACCACTTTCTTTTCATGATCAGAGCTCAATAACGTAAAATAATACACAAGAACTAGAGCGTTGTTTAATCATCGATTAATCTGCATTTGTACTCCTAGCACTGATTGGTGTTACATTTTTATTCCACATTTCTATTTACAGATATTCCGAAATTGTGTTTTTAGAACGACAAACTCTAGTTACAGAATCAGTTTTCTACAAATCACAAAATTTGTAGCACGCTCTTCATTTAATTTCGGTTTCTTTAGAAGCAACAAAAGAGCAACGGTACAACAATCAAGTTGATATTTCGTCTTTTTTTGAAAACCTAACATTATAAAGTATACAACCAATCAGGACTATCAGATCTAAAACATGGAAATCAGAACATAAGAGTCCAAAAACAGAAAATCAGAATACCTAAGTAGAAAAAAGCGTAGAAACAGGGTAGAAAAAGTTACAAGATTCAGAATTCTTTTGCCAAAATCAGATGACCTGGAAGCCCCACAACCAGTGCAGTTTTATATGTATAAGCAACGACTATCCCTTTTAAGAATAGCGCATTGTAATGTCTGACGGCAGACCAATAGAAAACTTGTCTCCTTTGAGAATATTGTAAAGCGATGCTGTGATCACCAACTGTAAGGAACATTGAGTAGAAGATAACTTCTACATGGTTTTTGAACTTCACAATATAGGAGCTTGAAGACAGAAAAGACAAATTAAATACAACAGCCTATTTCTTTGGTCTGTTCGACCCACAAGATCGTTAAAAACAAGCATTTGATAACATCCGTTGCATTTCGGCAGCGCACAACTTTACTAATAACTGCAAACAACAATTTTTGTTGCACAAAGGACTTACTGGAAGGAAGAGTTGAAAAAAAAATACTGTCATTGTGATTAGGATTCGGTAAGACTAAGCATCGCTTTGACTGAGAGTGGAAATTTTTACCATCCATTATGGACTTGTGCCTTGTGGTCAACAAATGTGATCAAGAAAAAAAAAGTACTTACTTAATGCACTTTTAGTTGCGACTGTCCGTTATATATAATTCATACGGACACTGTTTTTTTGCATCTCGTTTAAAACGAGAATAAGAAAAACACACATCTTCAACCACACATGTGTCTGTCACGTAGATTATACACAGAATATAGACTATAGTTCAGAACATAAGGTATGCAGAATTTAATTCTCACTTTCGAACAGAAAAGGTAAAAAACATGTCTCTTGCGTTCTGACACTTCAAAACAAATTACTCGCTATATGCATAGTGAGTAATTTATTACATACCTACATACACCTGTATTGCGTTTTCGCTCAGATCAAACTTGTTGAATTCTGAATCCAAAGCGCCTCCAGCATACTACTTCCATTAAGTAATTTATTCAGCTATAAAAATTGAATGAAACTCACTTTTATTCCATACTTTACTCTCAGAGTTTCAACCAACGAGATGAAAGGATAAGCTACTAAACTCAGTCCTAGCATTTAGTCCCGGTGTATCTTAACCAGTCGAAAATAAGGTTCCAGGGTACACATGTTGGATCTTGCTTTCCCATTAATGAATACCAAACAAAAGGAAAAATATGAAAACGCTGTCGGCGAAGTATGTTTCTCGTTTAGAAATCTAAGAAAAACGTGAGAAGAACTGATCGAATTTTATACAGTTACAGTGAGATTTTCATCTAGATCATGAATAGCAAGGCTTTGCTATTTAAAACTTTTGTACTAGATGTAAAAGGAAAAGATAATTTTTTCTTTTCTTTCCCCTTACAGGTCCACAAATCTTGTCAAATGACTGTGCAAGATCTTATCATATCACAAGATTTCATATGATCCTCTAAGATCTTGTCAAAACTCTACAAGATTTTATATGAATCGGTCTTCGTGATTCCGCATAAGATTTACAGTCAAGGGAATAAATAAATGGTTATCACAATATTTTGGTTAATTGTTGATGGAATTTATGCGAGAAGTCATTACAAGTCGCGCCGTTATGGTGTCGCCACCTGAAAGTATTGTAAAATTAACATCTTCAGGGATTAACCAAAATATTGTGATAACCATACTATTTATTCCCTTGACTGTAAGGAAAGGGTATTATCGAGTTAAACTGCCTGTATGTCTATCTGTAAATCTGATTTCTATGCTTTGAAGCTTTAGTTCTGCCCTTCTCATGAGGTCATTCCGGCCATATATTTTGAGACAATCCCCATTAAACTTCATGTTCGAGCAAATGTTGAATTAGCAGCGAAATTGAGAGATTATCAGGAAGCATACCCTTATTCTAAGGTGCAGGCAATTCAAACTTTCAGTAAAAAATTTTTTTTCGAGTTTTTTTACATCATTTGATAGAGCTTGAGCTGCTGAACACAAAAAACTACTTTTTAGCCTTAGCAAATACTTCCTTCCAGTCGAAAAATACGAAATACTCGAAAGGTGTCGTTTTTCGAGAAAAACACATCTTTTTCGAAATATACAAAATTTTCTACTTCGCTATTTTTTTCCAGCTTCTGAAAATAATTTTTTCAGATTCAGCACCAAAAAGTGAATATACAAAAGCTGTTCAATTGATACCAGACCCA